TATATACAGGCTGTAAAGAAAATTTTATAACCAACTGTGATATCACTTAGGTTTTTATTAAATCTAAACAAGTCTATAGTAGAAAAGTATCACTTGTTACTTTTTTATATCCATCAACTGATTTCTAAATATTAAACATATTTCAAAACAACATAGAAATATTGAATTCATAATAGGTACTAGATTTGATTTAAATTTATATACATACTACGATGTGGGACTGGCTCTTATGATTAATTCTTTTAAAGATACTCAATTGTATCCTGAATAGTAACAATATTAAACAATAATAAACTATATTCTGTCGTAATAAGATTTAAAAGTATTAAATGAATTTTTGTTGATGTAAAGATATTGTGAACTTTTTGTTTTAAAAAAATATAGAAATAATTTCTATAATCATTCTTCAATCATCGCGTACTTGCGAGCGTGACGAACATCATAAGACTTGACTAAAATGATGATATAGAATAAAATGAAGATTGTTAGGATAGGTGTAACTTAAACTACAGATTACGGAATTGTTTGCACGCTTGAAGAATATGTACAGCCGGAGAAACAATTGATTAATATAAAATATATTAATTTGAGGCAAGAAACTTTAACGGGCTATCTTACAAGTCAGGAGTGGCGACGTATATTAGGAGCCACGGATGGCACAGTATATTGAGTTCCATATCACAAAATGTAGTTTCTATTTATAAGCAGCGATTATTATCAATTCATATCAAGTGAGACGTCAACATATTATATACCTTATTTGCTATTCCCGGCTGTGTTAAAAATGTAATAAAAATTAGACAGATAACTACTTTTTACATCGAAGTTACATAAAACATGCATTAGTATAGAATAATAATCATATGTAAATGTGTGGGTGATTTGTTCCTACAACCTGCTTATATGTGAGGGGAGTTTTGAAATGTAAATTATCATTCATCTTAACTCACACGTCGGTAAGGGACCGTGACACAGGTATTTTTTATACACAGGATGCTTGGTCGTCGAACACATTTTTAGTGAGAATATTACAACATTAGTCCCAATTTAAAGGTACGTTTTTAGTAATGCCTTTGAACTGCCTTTGTATTTAACTGCGACCGACGACTGCTCAAAGCAGAGACGAGAAATAGAGAGTAGATTTATTTATATCGATTAACTTATTGAAATTTAAATCAAAAATGTATTCGGAATTAATGTTAAGTATACCTATTTTCAAACACCGACGCAAAAAAGGGGTGATATAATTTTGACGTGTTGAGAGTCTGTCGGTGAGTGTATTTCCTTGTATCGGCGATTTTTTAAATTTGTAATAAATCTATAGTTATGTTAATGTCATATTTTGAGTAGTAATATTCAAGAATATCAATCTGAAATATTTTGTATGAATGATTGAAAGAGGGAAATTCATTACGTTTACAAAATGACATGTATCTAATTAATTGCCATTTTTATAGAATTTACATTGCTAACAAATACTATAACATATATTTGCTAATAAACTTTGGTGTTTGCGTTTTACATTGAATTTTACACCAAATTCAGACAAAAGACTACGAGTATGATTTACGATGTAAAAATGAAAATTCTTTTTTATTTTATCCTAATGTCGCGGTCGCTCGGAACAAAGAACGTCTAGTGGACGTATTATAATATATGATTTCACCAGAATTCAGATCAATAAAATTATTTTTTATATTAATATATATTTTCAAATTTATATTATTAACTTTCCTAGACATGTTATATACATACAAGTATATTTAAATTAAATTGAAATATTTATCAGTTCATCCTTTATTAAGCTGTTGATCTACAAGAAAAATATTTATTAATTTATTAATTTTATATGCTATAGGTTAAAGAATATATATACAATTTATGCAGCTTAATTAAGCATCATCATCATCTAAGCCATTATCCGTCCATTGCTAAACATAGGACTCCCCCCTTAGACTGCCATAAAGCCATTACTTTAGCATATAACATCATAAATTATAAGTAATGTTTTATGTGTTTAAATTCTGAGTTTCTTATATCGAGAATTAAATTTACTCTACTAGTTAGTTTAACAAATTGCATTTGTGGGGTAACAAGTTAGTGCAGAAAAAAATTATAAAAACTGAAGCGTATTCTTAATGAGAACTCAAAGTTAAAGCTAAAATATTTTGAATTTTAAATTAGTAATACTTTAGACATACCACTTAACTAGTTAGCTTTAATACCAGCTACTAAATGCTAAAGAATATATGTAAGCATATATATTTACATAAATAATTTTAAATTAAAATTTTATCTATACATTCCAGGAATATTCAAACTGGGAGTTTTACGAAGTAGAGGTGATAACATAGATCAGAAATTGACCTATTTTGATCAGCTATACGTGCTTAGCAAGTTATTAAATTCGAAGTAAAAAATATCAATGAAGGTCATGTTTAGGTTGCTAGACCTAGACCTAGAGAGGTTATTTAATTACCTCATTTTCATATAAATTTATATTATATTTCATACTTAGTTCGAGACAACTATATGTATCGTCCTTTTCTTGCTCCTTATACTATCGTTAACTAAGTACTTCATAAAATTAAAATCAAACATTAGACAAAATTAGTTTAATCTGTCAATTATATTTAAAAAATATATATAAAAATAAAACGGACTTCAATTTTAATAATAACAATGTGCACTACGCTACGTCTTAACGAATGACAAAGTGTTTAGTCTTATTACGCCCCTTTCAAGGCGCCTGGTTAAAGTGAAAAGAAAAGATAAGAAAAATATGAAAAAATAAACATTAAAAAAAAATCAATTGCGTAGATAAGATCTATAATTACGACGAGGTAAATTTTAAACTTTAATTATTATCAACGTAATATATGCATTGTAAAATATTTCTGTTGGTAGTATCTACAGAAATATATAGCTGTTATAATGTAACGTTTGTAATTAAAAAAAAATAGTTTATTATACCCCATATATGTGTATTCAATTTCGAAATTCTGATCAATATTATAATTATAGAAGTAAATTTATATTTTATATCTTAGCTATTGAACGGCTTAACCAATCATTATAAACAGATTAACATTTGGGGTGGAAAAGGACAAAGGCTACTTTTTATTCCAATCAATTAACGTATTTCGATGACGCAGGCGAAATCGTTATAAGTAGTCGCTAGTAAGCATATGTTTTAATTCACTTGCAAAAAATTTTACTTATGCATGTGAAAATATGTGATATTTGGATACTCCACAGAGATTGGAGAATATAGCTTCTATGTGGACGAAAACATGAATATTACCTTGTTTTTTTGAAATCAGTTTTTCTAATAAGTACTAAGTTCTAAGGATCTAAGTTTTACAATAATATATACAATTTCGATATAATAAAAACAACTCCCTTTTAGAAACGAAAACTTCTCTAATTAAAATGTATTAATTTACAGAAACTACGTTAACTATATATATTTTCGTTGTAGGAAAACATGTAAAAGCTTAAAACTGCAGCAATATTTCACGTCAACGCGAACTTCAGTTAAATATGTCGTTGTATTAAATTTTATGAAACATATCTGTTAGTAGTTGTACTCGTTTTGTATTTTGTTAAGTCGTTTCAAATATATTGCTGGAATATAAGTATTTTATTATTATATTTATTTCTTTTGACAATATTTATCTATATTCTCTGTTAAACTTGCATTTCCATTTAATTACATACCTAAGTATAACCGGTTAGTGTTGTTTTATTTTAATACTTGATTAGTTGCAACAGAATATTTATAATAGTGTAAATAAGGTCATTTAAGGACAAATTTAACCACATTTATTATTTAAATAATTAGCTATAAAATACGTAATTAGTAAAGTTAGAATAACAGTTCCGACTATAATAAAAAGTTTTCTTTTCTTACTACGTTATTAATTTTCTATTTATTAAATTGTAGATTTGTTAATGCGATAACATTAAAAATGACCAAACATTTCCAGTAATAATATAGTGCCAATAACCTAGTTACAAGATACCTCTACCTACCTGTAATCCAATAATATAATTTAAGCTACGTATCTATGTGTATTTGTTTAAATATCCGATTGGTACACAAGTATCTTTGTATCTACTTACCTACGTGCAAAAACGTACTCAAGTCAAAGAAAGAAATTATCGACGCAAAAAATATTTCATACCAATTAAATCACACAAGGTGTGAAAATGGAATAAACACACGCGCTCCAACTGTGCGTATGTAATACGTTAATTTGAAAAGAAAATATTAGAACGTAACAGATGTGGCGTACTGTGTCGTGAATATTTTTATATCGATGTCCGTGGCAATGACCGCCGCCGCAGTGACGGTTCACGGCCGTTTAAAAAGACGTTTAGGTTAAAAAACAGCGTATCCTTGTACGCAGCGTTTGATTTTCCAACAAAACCTAGACCAGCAATATAATGTCTTAACTGACGGATGCATCGTAAATTTTATACACCCTGTATTTGAAAATAAATATACAGACGACAGGGCGCAGGGTAGGGCGACACCCCCACAGTGACATGTACGCACACAAGCGCACAACAGGGCAGATGAGAGGGCGCTACTCTCGCTTCAGTCTCGCGCCGACCACCGTGGCGGTTGGTTGTTTCGTTTGGTGTAATGCTACCGCTAATATAAACTAGTTTTGTTCCGGACCAATCGACGATCGTCCCCACTGTGCGACTCTGTCAAATTATACGTGCGTTGTGGACATAAAAACTGTGTATAAACTTGTGTTTTTTCAAACGTGAACGGTTGGTATCCCCTTTTGAAGACGGTTATTTTTTTTCTGCGGCCATGATCCACACATGTTCATTGTTTACATCTGTAGTTATATTAATGGTGTAGACATGTGTTACTTTTATTTTTTCTCCCCTAGCTATGTGGGGTTTAAAATATACGGGTAGGTTTACGCGTTTATTAATCATACGACTGTACCCACATTAATAAAAGTCGTTTCTATTTCCAGATAGACTGTTGGGATTGATTTGAAGACGTTGACTTGTGTGGAAACAAAGGTTTACATTGTCTAAAGGTGAACGATCGTGCTTCATTCAACGTGTTTCTACAGGTATGTTTGAACAATATCAGTTTGAACTTTACGCGTGCTATCAGGTGTAGAACGTAAAAACGGTTTAGAATTATTGAATTTGGAATCTTATTTTAAATCTTGTCAAGCCTACCCTCTGTTTGTTGAATTACGCATTGACACTTTTTACACTCATAAGAACTTTTTTATTCCACGACTGATTATGTATTTACAGCACTAGTTGTTCATGTCGCACATACATCCGTTTTTGGGTCAACGACCTCAATAGACCGCGTTAGCCGGTAGGTTGCTAATTTTTTTGTACAACTAGAGTCTACGGATTGCATAACACATTATAATCCGTATGTAGGTAATTAGCGATTGTTGCCTATTGCACATTGAGACGTGGAATCGAGCCTCTGTTATGCCTTACATAATTGTAACCTTTTGTTTGGCATTTGATTAAGCCATTTAAATGATCGTCTAAGCCGGTCACTTGTTGCTTCTAACCATATTCATATTCCAAGATATATCTAGAAACCTAATAAGGATATCGAATTAGGTAGATAATAAGTATATATTAAAAAAATATGGCCGTAGTGTCTCGATTCCTTTGTCTGATTATAGAATAAAGATTACCTTTATATCAAGGTAGTTATAGGACGTCTAGATTAGTATTTAGGACAAGGCTGCTCTATCTGGCGGTCTAAAATGATCATTTAAATACAGGGACCTTCCTCGGTATAATCTGATAGTTTGCCCATGACCATTCTGTCTTATGTATATTGTACAGCTATATATAATATAATTGTAAATAGATGTCTGTACTTATGAGTTATTCAAGAAAAAAATATATAAGGGATATTATAAAGAACAATAGAAACTGAACAATAATTCTTAGAATTTTTATCTATCCGTCTGTGTGTTGTTCCGGCATTACACAAAAACTACAACACGAAATTGTTATAATATGGTTTTTACAGTTTTTTTTTTTAAGGTCTAACTTAAAATCTGATCTGTATTTAATCTTATTACGCCATCTAAAGGTATTTACTTCCAAAATCCAGCCACACGAATTTGCGGACAAAAGCTAGTTTGCGATAAAATTTATTTAACCTTTTTTCTGTGAGAATCAATAAAACTGCCTTCTTAATTATTTATTCAAAATGCAGAAATGTTAAAGGGAATCAATAAAGACGTTGCTCAATTAATCACTACTGAGCGACTTATATTGTGCATTCTCTATGGAGAATACAATAAGACGAATTGCGAAAGTTATGAATCACTTAAAGTGGTTATTTTAGCCTTCATCGTATTATATACGGTAGCTAGGATTAGACACTATTATTTATTACCATAATATATAAAAATAATATTACAGTAATTACCCAGTTATATCTGAAATTCGTGCTTTAGTAATATTTGTTAGTATCGTTACCGTAAGGGCCCATTTACACTGTTTATTACACGCGTGCGTCACGAATTTTCATCAATGTGCGTAGAAAAATAATATATTTATTTAATCTCAATTAATCATATTATGTATATGGTATGTAGGTCATAGTCTGAACGTCCGAATAAATATACATATTTTATACTTAGCTGTTGAATGTTCCGTCTTTTCTTTCTAGATAAATTGAATAATATTTTTATATGACTTGGAATTATATACAAGATACATAGGTACTTAGGTAATTATTAAATTAGATTTATCAAAGTTTTACATTTATGAATAAAACTAGATACATTATTGTGTCGTAAATTGTGATCCATGTAAATGGTCTGATAACGTTTACATTACTGTCCGATCAGGAATACAACTGTTAAACTTGTATTCAATTTGGTAGTAGATTTTGCATGATGCCGAAACAAACATACTTGACAGACAGACAAACAATTCTAAGATTAATTGTCTGCAATTGCTCTTACTAAAACCCCTCACATATTTTTTTCCGAAATATTTCATATGAACGTCGACGTAGTCCAGTAATAGTTTTATTACATTAGTAACATAATACATTAATAGATATCGATCGAAAATAATATGTTTAACGTGTATTTATAGGGAGAAAATGGGAGTGTTAGCAATGGGAATTTACACCATCGGTAGCAATACAGGTTGTTTTTTTTATTTATTTATTTAACTCTTTATAGCATCAAAAACATAAAATTAAACAATGACATATAAACAATTCAACTGAAATACAGTAGCATGGAGTACAGATCAAAATATACATATAAAGGTACAAAAGGCGGTGTTATCACTAGGGCAATCTTACAGACAAACTTTAGTTAAAGGAGAACGTAATCGTATTGCTACCGATGGTGTAAAGTGTCAGCTCGATCTTGATCTGGTGGTCTACTATGAAATGAAATTCCGAAATTAATGTTGACCCAGTAAATGGAGCTTTTTCGTTTATCATAAATCCTATTCTAATAGTTCAGAGGAACGATATTGAAACATTTTTAATAATTTTAAATGACATGTATTATGTAGTGGTAAAATTTCTATTTCATGCCTGATTCGTTATTATGAAAAAGTATATTGGTATGCACTGGCGGAGCACCAGTAAGAGATGATTGGGCCTACTGTCTTGACTTCCGTCATTGGTAGCCCGCCAGCGTATCCCGGTAGCGTACGAAAAATAACTATTTCAATTTTATCTTACACAAAAGCGCATTCATAGGATCGTTCACTGTGTACAGGCCCTTAGTTTCGAATATATTGCTTGCCTTCAGACCCATTTCTCTATAGAATAGTTTTGAAGACCGCTCCAGAATCTCAGAATTGTTTGATAAACAATTATTTGAAATAGAACAAGCACACTATTGCTTACATACTCGTGTTTTGTATGTTTAACAGTTAATTTGTTAATCAAAATGATCTTAAATGTTTCTAATAATCAATATTCCCGTCGAATAGTCTCGTTAATTATGTACATCGTGAGTTAATTACGGGGAAATGTGGGTGTTTTGAATGTCAAGTGTTTGTTGCTAGCGTTCAAGTAGCTTAGTGTTTCTTTGTTCACGTTCTTTGAGTAATAAGTTGTATTGGTACAGTGTAGGAACAACCAGTGGTTCATTGCCTTTGGCATGTCCCGAACGATTACTTGACAATTCGGGACGCATGATCTGATAGGGCATATTACTAGAAATGGGACCGTTTGTCCCCAATCGCAATAATCTCCCCCGCCTCTCTGTTTAGAGTACACCTTACGTTGTTTAGGTATACGGGTATTCTTAAAAACATTACCCTTCTTAGGTGAAGGGATTGTTAGTAATGAGATCTAACTGCCCCATTGCTAGCCAATCAGGTCGACCACCACGCGGTTCCCCCTCGAAAACATCTTGGTTAATTTATGTGAAATTCGTTAGGCTAACCTGCTTTCATCCTCTCCTATCATCCCTCACTATTGCCTTGCTAATGTATACCGATAGCGCAGGCAGGGTGGGGTTACCATTCAACTACCAATCAATACTACAAATCAATACTACCAATTAAAAAAAATACTGTCTCTTTTTCGTTACTTTGAATATCGGCTGTAATTTTGCACCTGTAGCATCATATTTTAAATAAATTGGAGTTACGCAAATAGGTTAAGGTGATCAATTTGCGAACTCGACTCCATTCAAACCGGCTTATCAGTTTTGATAGTATTAATGAACGATAACTGACCTTTCTCAACATTAGTGACTGTCTTCTAATATATTAAAGAACGTTTTTTGGCACATTTTCAGCCGTTAATGGCGACATATTTCTTTCAAACGACACTTACTTATTTTTACAATTATAATCGTGGGTGTTCTATGTAGGTACGGTTAGAAAAAGAAGCTGAAATAAACTGAATAGCTGGAGATGTGTAAATAAAAATAAAATGCTGTTTATTGGTAAACATGTCACTTGGAAATTGATTAACTGATTTAAGAAAAAAATACTAAAATTAATAAATTATAATTATAGTCCAATTGGGTTTTTAAGGAAAAAAAAATTCTATTTAGAATCTGGTCAAGACAAAATTTAAATTTATTTATTTATTACATTACTGTCATATGGATTCATACTACATAGTGAAATACAGAACAAATTGACGCATACGTACCTTTTAGACATTGTAATGGGAGCGAGAGAGATAGACATCCTTTATTTATTTTGTAGTTTATTTATTATTTTTAGAAGCTTTTTTATATTTACTAAACTTGTTTTCATTTTTTAAATATGATGGTAGTTTATTTTAAATTAAAACGGTTTATTTTAAATTAATATTGAATAAGAGCCGGAAACTATGTAGTACTAAATTACCACAGGGAGACTTTGTACAAAAGTTATTTGCTTGGGCACCTCTGTCCCATTCGTGTTTGAACCGTGAAGCAATTGTGTTTGCATGGCTGTGTTTCGGTTTAAAGGGTGGGATATGGCGTGAATTAACAGGGTACAAAGGAATAACACCTGAGTCCTCAGGAATGGCAACGCAAAGGGAGGTATCATGGACGAAACAGTATACTGTCTTATATCCATGGTACTGCTCATGTTAATAGGCGACGGTTACCACTTTCCATCAGGTGGGCCGTCATCTTGTTCGCCATTCTAAGTTGCATAAAAAAAACGATCGATTTGCCTATATTCGAACGCTACTAACGTATAAGCGATCGAATTATGATTTAAATATATTATAGGGCTACATAAAACATAATCACCGAAGTGTAAAATAAAATTTACAGACTAGGTAAATGCATTAACGTATTTTCCCCCATAAATTACTGGGGCCTCTATGCGACCGTTAAACCACATCCTCGGCCCTTTAAAAGGTCTAGGAGTACGTATTGCAATTAGGGACAATCATTCAATTACCGAGTACATTAGGGTGCGGGTGTTTCGGTCTAAATGTATGTGTTGAGAGTAATTCATTGCTACTACTTTTTTTGCCTACTGTATTTTTTCTCAGTTCGATTGAATTTTTTTCTCATTTCGATGCAATTTTTTTTTCTCAATTCAATTGAATTTTTAATCGATATCAAAACAGGATTTTTTTTTTATATGTTCG